ATGATGATGATGATGGTAATGATGAGCATGGTGATGATGATGGCAATGATGATGACGAGAAGGATGATGATGATTCACTAAAATCTAAATCCAAATTAATTCAGAAGTTGACTTAAGTGTAGGGAGAAAATCTGTAGCAAAACTCTTGAAGTACAGGAAAGAACCAAGAAGACTTGCCTTAGTGAGAGGCGGGTTCTTTGTGAAATGGACCTTTTTACTCGGCATTTATAGTCATCATACCTAAAATCAACATTATCTGATTATTTTGCTTTGATGTACTTTCATTTATTCAAGAATGTGTTCAAATTCATCTTGAAGACTACACAGACCAGCTTATCTCTGTCAACGTCTTTCAGTACTATGTACTGTATTTAGAGGTAGGCATGGGTAGGGTGATTATCAGTGGTGGGTTGGGTGATTATCATTGGTGGGTGGGGTGATGATCAGTGGTAGGTAGGGTGATCGGTGGTGGGTAGGGTGGTGATCAGTGATGGGTGGGGTGATGATCAGTGGTAGGTAGGGTGATGATCAGTGATGGGTAGGGTGGTGATCAGTGGTGGGTAGGGTGATGATCAGTGGTGGAGAAGGTGATGGTCAGTGGTGGGTAGGGTGATGATCAGTGGTGGGTAAGGTGATGATCAGTGGTGGGTAGGGTGATAATCAGTGGTAGGTAGGGTGATGGTCACTGATGGGTAGGATGAGGGTCAATAGTGTGAGGGGTGTTGGTCAATTACATGTAAAGTGAGCCTAAATACCAGGTATACCTTTGACTATTTCAGGTATTTAAAGGAGTCAGAATTTTTCGTACAGAGACCGATGAAGAAACCCAAGAATTCCTATCAAGATTTGGAGCAAATGGAAGTTAGTAATAAGAGAGTTAATTCTAGTTATCCCTACATGTATTGATGACCTTTCTTTTTTGTAAATTAAGCTGTAGTTAAGTGTGATCAAGAAGCAGGTTATGATGCAAATAGGCCCAATGATCAGCCAGTCACACACGCAGCAAACAGGTAAGGCTCTTTCTATTCACTTCTTCTCCTTTCTCCCTTCTTCTTTTCCTTCCTCCCTTCTTCTTTTCCTTCCTCCCTTCTTCTTTTCCTTAGTCCATCTTTCCCTTCCTTTCTTCCTTCTGCTTCTTACCTGCCTGCCTTCCTTCCTTCTTTCCATTGATCCATCTCTCCCTCCCTTCCTTCTGCTCCCTACCCACCTTCCTCCCCCCCCCCCCCCCCCCCCCCCTCCCCCCCCACCCACCCCCCCACTCACTAACTCTTTTCTAAAGCTTTTAAGGAACTAAATGTGTTTTATTTTGTTAATACTTAGTTAACTTTCAGCTTCAAAATGAAATATATTTTTCTCAAATTCCTGTCACTTTATTGATTTATATTTATTTGTTTCCCTTTCATGCTGTAGGGATGAAGATATGTTGTTTGCAAATGATTCACAAGAAGAGGAATTTATGTTAAACCAGGTGAAAAGCTAAAAAAAAACAAACCCCATTCTACTGGGTTTTGAAAAAAAATTATTATTTTATTAATTTTATTTTATTTCATTACATTTATTTTATTTCATTTCATTTATTTTATTTCATTTCTTTTCACTTCTTTTCATTTTATTTTATTTTATTTTATTTTATTTCATTTATTTTATATCATAAAACACAGAGGGTTGATTCCGATGTCTTAAGATATTATGCTATCATTGTTTCATTCTTATGCTGATTTGAGTTGTTTTCTTTTTCTAGGCCTTACAGCAAAGTCTTGTGGATCCACATAACAATGAGAATGTTGATTACTTTGGTCATGATAATGGGGTAGATGATGTTGATAATGGTATGAATGATGATGGTGGTGGAGGTGCTGGTGGTGGTGCTGGTGGTAGTGGTGGTGGAAGTAGTGGTGGCGATAGTGGTGGTAGTGGGAGCAGTGGCGGTTTGGGTGGCAACAGCAGCACTGGTGGTGGTAGTGGTGTTAGGGGCAACAGTAGCAGTAGTGGTGGCTGGGGCAGCAGTGGTGGTAATGGTGGTGATGGCACACGAAAACCAACTCGTAAACCAAACATACAGCCACTATTCAACCAGGAACACAAGCCAACAAAACAACCAGACACCAATAATCATGTTGACAAAAACGACAACAAAAGCAACACAAGAGAAGTTCCAAAAGAACCTGTTCAGAAGGTCTCCACAAGCACAGTAACAGTGAAACAAGAAACTGAGGAAGAAGAGAATGATCTAGAGAATATACTGCAGTTTAAATTCTACGACAGCCTAAAAAGTCACTCCAACGATGAGGATAAAGAAGGCATGCGCAAGTCAAAACATGATTCAGAAGATAATAAACTTCACGAGATAATGGAAGAAAGTCACATACAGCATGAAAAAGAGGAAGAAGAAAGAAAAGCTTTACTGAGAAGCGTGTATGACGAAGAAGAAGAATTAAGAATAGCAATAGAGTTGAGTAAAAAAGAGATGGAGCATAAGAACATAAAAGGGTTCGAAGAAATTGGACAGGACAGGATTTCTAACTCAGTTCCCAGTAAGAATTCTGCTTCTACCTATAGGAATAACAGTGAGGGAAATAATGAAGAGGATGATCTACTAAAGGTTATTGAACTGAGTAAGAAAGATAGGACACAAAATAAAATGCATGGGAAAGAGATGGGAAATTTAATGGGAAATTGTTCAGGATCAGATGCATTATTTACAAGTAGGGAAAATAACACTGTTACGTATCATCGTTATGATGATGACGAAGAACTGCGGAGGGTCATTGAACTTAGTAAAAGAGATGCCGAACAAAAAAGACTAGACACACACAATGGAAAATTAAATTTACAGCAAGGAGAAGTTGGTGATACTTCAAGAAATAATTCTCCATCTCCAAACAATTTCAGTGATGACGATATCCAGCTTAAAAAAGTTATGGAACTAAGTAAAAAGGAATTTCAACAAAATATGCAAGAAATTTCTCGAACAGATCCAACGCTTAACAGCCAAGATATGGAACATGAAGATTGTTACTATGATTTAGAGGTCCCTGATTTTGCTAATTCAGGAACGCACGATGATGGTGTAGAATTTTCAAGTAAAAGGAATGACAGTTCTCCCTCTTTATCGTCTAAGTTTTCTTATCAAAATAGTGGTGGGAAATACAGCAATATAGACTTAAAAAGTTCAAGTTCTAATTCTTCTTTGTATCAGAAGAAATTGTCAGAAAGCAGTATCAATGGCTTAAGAAAAGATGATAGTGATGATGAAGCTGTTCTTGTGGAAAGTCAGGACATGAAAGATGATGACGATGGTGATGACGATATTGGTGGAAAGTTCAAAAAAAGGTTTGGTAATGCTGCAAGAAATTCTAAAGAAGATAAAAACAGTTCTAGCCATTATTTGAAAGATGACAGTGATGATAGTGATGATGATAATGACATTGTTAAAAGGTTCAGAGAAAGGTTTGGCAATGCTGCAAGCAACTCTAAAGGAGATAAAAACTACAATCTCCACAATAATAGCACACTACCTACTGAAGATGCAATACTCGTGGACAGCCAAGAAATGGAGGAAGATAAGACCACAGCACAGAAGCTGCAAGAAGGATTTGACAAAGAGACAAGCCATATTGAAACCAATAAAAATGGCATTTGCAGTAAGAACAATAGTTTATCGATGAGTTTTGATGATGCAATACTTATTGACAGCCAAGATGAATACACAGATGAACACATAGCACAGAAGTTGCAAGAACAGTTTGATAAGGAGGGTGGAAGGTCTAGAGAGAGTCATGATACAAACCAATCAAGTTGCTTCGCTGATGATACCATTCTTGTTGATAGCCAGGACGATATTGAAGTGGATAGTACTTCGGACTTTGAAACAGCACTACAGCTTCAAAAAGAGTTAAATCAACAAGGTAACCATAGTAACACCAGCGACAGACCATCTTCCTCGACATCCTCATCAACATCAAGCAAACTCCAAAGGGTAAATACAAGGGAACAAATTTCTTCTTATCGTGAAGAGCAGCAAAAGAGGTTCAGGGAAACTAAGACTGGAAAAGCTCCCAAAAACATGCCACCAGGACTGGCCTTCAGGCAGAAAGCGGAGGCAATAGCTAGAGGAAAGGAAAGTTTACTTGCTGTTGTGCGACCATTAGGTACTACTGATAGCAGTACTCCGAGGAGGAAGGCTGAAAAACGTGGACATGATGGGACCATTAAAAACAGGTTTGACGATTCTCAAGCAGGTAGAAAAACAGCCAGGTATGGTCCAAAAGAAAAACTATTAAACATTAGATATAATGGATTCCTGTTATCTCAGACCCTGGGTATCTTGAACTTTCTATTTTCTTGAACTCGAGACCATGTTCCATGGTCTTGCTTGCATCAAATCAAATTTTCCCTGAAACTTTCCCTTTCTTGAACCCTTGTAATTAGACATTTAGTTCTGGAGATGTCGCCTTCACTTTATCCCTAAAAGATAGTATTTTATAACATTGCTCTGCAGAAAATCCTGCCCCACCTCCACAAGCATCCACACAGAAACCAGAAACAGTACAAAGAATACTTCTGACGCATCCTGCCTTGTGTTTCCTGTGTCATCTTCATCACCAAGACCACAAGAGAAGGATTGGAGACCAAGTTCAAGGGGAAGAGAAAGGAATAGTTCGTCAAGCAGCTCACTTGTTTTTCCTGGTTCTTTTTCTCCTCCATGCGGAAGTGGTAAACAAACTACGCCGGAGTCTTCTGGTGGGGCATTTTCTTTTCCAGGTTCTTCATCGTACTCAAGGGATTCAAGGTAAGACTGAATCAGATGTAATAATATGCAATTCCTTAGATTCTCTTTGAATATTAAGGCATAATTTTCATCTTTATCATATTTTCTGCTTCGTTCTTGTTATCTCTGCCATCGTTGCGATGTTGATCTCATTTTCACCATTGTTATTCTTTCCTCATTATCAAGCTTGCACCAGTGTTTTTCACTGCTGACTTCATTATCATTGTCATCATGGCAATCGCCAACATCATTATCATCATTGTCATCACATCATCATCAATCACAACTGTCATCATCGTTACACCCAACATTATCTTCATCATTGTGTTTAGTATAATAATTATCATCCATATTATCGCCATCATCACAACCATCATCATCACCATCACAACTGTCATCATAATTACCCTCAACAATATTATCATCGCTATAATCATCATCATCATCATCATCATCCATGATCACCATCACCACTACCACCATTATCATCATCTTCATCATCATCATCATAATCTTCATTATCACCAGTTCTCACTGCATCCCTTATTTCATAGCTCTTCATACCAGAACAACGCAAACAGTGGATTTGTATTTCCCAGTTCATCTGAAGTATGTACACTTACATGTAACACAGAGGTTTTGTATTTTTACATTAGGCTCAGGTCAAAAGTTGAACTTCACATTCATGAGCCTAACCTAATTGAAACTATGGATAACAAGGCAGTCTTCTTTGATGTCATTAGGTTTGGCTCATATGAAGTTTGACATTTGACAAGTGCCTTCGTTGCCATGTTAGAACAATATAATTTCTTTACTCTTGGGAATTGAATTTTTTCTCATGTAAATTGATTGTATTGGCCATTTAGTGTCCAAGCAGCCCAAGCCCCAGACCATCCAGAGACACTTTAACAAGTAATGCCTCACAATCAGGCTTTAAACCAGATGACGGGTTGAAGGGATCAGCCAGTCCAACCATCATTAATGGACCAAAATGTTCAGACTGTGGTGAGATAGGACACCGGAAGGGAACCAAGAGGTGTCCATATTATTATACTGAAGAAGCACAGAGGAAAAGAGAGGTATATTAAGGTGTTGTGTCAGTTGAATCTGTTATTGCTAAAAAGAATTACAGTGCATTGCACAAACGTATTGACTACATTTAATGTATTTTGTACGTTAAACTGATAGCCAGTGCCACTGCTGGCAGGCTGGTTTTACCAAGTAAAATATCTAATCATTCATTGTTCATATATTCATTGTTCATTCCATGTTTATTCATTAATTCATT